GACTTATTTTTGAAAACTGCAGGTCCAATTGCCTTGATATTGTTTATTTTTAATGATGATGTCTTCAGTTCTCTAATTGAAATGAGCATTGCTAACAGTGGAGCTATCTCTATCTCAGCTGAGAGGCTGCTAGTTATTTATTTATTTATAATTTTTTTTATAATAGATAACATATAAATCATCTGAATCTGTTTATCCAACTACCGTGGTAGAACCTAAGGATATACTTGTTGAGGGCAGTATTGATTCACACACTTTAGAAGAATTACCACCGGAACACAGTTTGAAATATCAGTGAGTGCAAGTACATCAAAGGGATTTGGTAAACCTAAATCATTATCTCTGGAACTAAAATTGGTAAGTGTATATTACGCTTTATGATTAAGTTATAATAATGTAAATGACAGCTGAGATCAAATTCTGAACTAAATGGTTTGATTTATAAATTATATGCACAATGTCGTTGATAATACAAATAGTGTCACGTATGACATTAATCTAATTCCTACAAATAGCATCCTGGCGCATCTTAAAACACGAAACTCAATAACTTCCAAAAAATAGTACAGTTGCTAGTACTTATTTTGTTACAGTGACATATTGCAAATTATATTAATTAATGGTCACAGGTATGAGTTATAACTGATAAAAAGTAGACAAGCCAAAAACCTATAATTGTGAACAAAATGTTCAAACAAGAAAACATGATCATGTTGTGATCTCTGTTTGAATAACAAATTGCCAAGTCAGTTTTAAATAACTGTAAACCATTCAGGATAAAATAATGAATACTATAGTGACATTGATAATAATTACATTTATAGGTATTGATGTTTTAAATATTCTGGAAGAGCCTCATGTGACAAATGAACCAGTATTAACAGAAACCACTGCTACTATAGATTTGAGAAAATCAAAATCAAACACAGACATAAAGACTGATACAGAACTTGTGTAAGTATGATAATTTATTATAGACATATATTAATATGGTTGATCTTTTTAGTAGTGTATGTACACAGATGATGTGCACCGTGGAATTAAATAGAGCACATGATTAGATAGTTAATTATAGGTTATTCATGGCTAATATTACCGTAGTTTTCCGGGAAAGCGCCCAGGGTCCTGAACATTGAAAATTTCCAAAAAAATAGGGGTGGGCGTATTGCCGGACTTCCCTGAAAAAATGAAAATTGACAACATGCAGATCGAACTGCAGCAGGGAAGAGAATGGCAAATGAAAACATGTAATGGAAATAAATGAAAATTATGCAACATTAGAAATATAACAAAAATAAGTTATTGCTTATAATGTGACAAATAAACCAGAAGTCGGTAGGCTGGTTGGCGATCCTCTCCGCTCAAAAAGCAAGCAACATGTTTTCGACTGTTGTCATGGTAGGACATGAACGTGAACGTGAAGCTAACATCAGTTTATAACTAAAACCGAGTCCCGTATACGAAGTTTGCAAAAAACAATTCTGTCTTTAGAAGTTACTTTATTTTATTGTTAGGACGTATTCTGTTGTTAAATTTATTATTTCCAACCGTTTTGCAATAGTATTTTCTAGAATGAAGGCAACATTTACAGTTCATTCAAAGTTGCTTTGGAATTACGTTATGTAACAATGTCGGCGCCGGTTATCTCTTACCAGTGCGCATGATCATTTGGACACTGCTATTAGAAGACAGATAGGAGGTAATAAATTTTGGGCGAAAGTAATCAAAAATCAGTTTTGGGCTGTTGCCATGGCATCAGTGGGCCAAGTTTTTTTTTAATTAGGGACGGTACGACCTGCCTGTCCAAGTATGGACAAAATCAGCCAAGCCA